GCCTGGCAGCTGCCAGGCTCATGATTTGTACCGATGTGTTGGGGGGGGGGGGGGAAGGAGAAAATTAAGAACACAAAGCTGCATACAGCCCATGCTCCAGCCCGAGGCCATCGGTCTGCAAGTTCCCAGCCTGGACAGGTATTAATCAGCACCTGGAAAGCAGGAGGTCAGCAGCGGGGAGAGCCCACCACCACCCTGAGAGGTCACCTCTTCAAAAGCTGAATCTGGTCAGATACCAGAGAGAAAAATAAAGACATCTTAAGAGTCGCAGGAGCTAAGATTTTTGTTTGTGTGTGATACGGCTTACCCGCTTCCAATCACAAAGTAGCTGTTCTGTCCGGAGCGAAAGGTGATCTTTTTGCAGTAAAAAATGCTGAATCCAACTGTGCATTTATCAGGCAAAGCGCGGTTTAATAATTAACTCTGAGCAGCACTTCCAGCACTGGATTTGGGCTCTGCTGGTTTCTTACCACTCATGGGCAGCCCCCCAGCTCCTCTCCACCCAGGCAACTCTGAGCTAACAGGTCAGGACAGCACACAGCAATACAGAAGCGATATTATTTCCAAATTTTACAACCATGCCTAATTATCGCCATCATTTGCGCTACAAATGGAAGACACCAAGGCAGAGAGCAAAGAGCCTTGCCCAAAAGCGCAGGGCAAACGCTAGACAGCCAGACAGAGCGGGGCAAGGGGGGATGGCTCCCAGCTACCACTACCCCTGTGCCCCATCTTGGGCATCCGATTATCTGCCCTCCGGCCACCAAACCAATCGGAGGAGGACATCTAGAACGGGGCACTGACATCTCCAAGCCACCTCAGTCCCTGCTGCAGCGATCATCCCACCACACCACAGTTCAGGGAAGCAGCCAACTCAAGGACAGAAACCAGGTAGCCAAAGCAGCTTACGGAGGACACACATCATCAGTATCTTACTGGGACCAGTATTTACACTGCACTGAAGAGGAGCATAGCAGCAGCCACACTCAGTCCAGAAAGAAATATCCCATTTTCCATTGCACTCCAGCCAAAACCAGCTCCGACGCAAAAGTTTCTTGCAACACCAGCCATCTCAGGAAATTGTGATACAAGCAATATAAAATTTCATCAGACAAAAGCAACTGTAGTGATATATGTAATTTTTGCCTGACGGCATGTCAGCTAGAAGCTGGTTTTCCAGGGGAATTAGCAGGGGTACAGGTCCTCCCCTCTCCTGCGTGCTCATGGTCCACAGCAATAAGCACTCCCAGTCTTGATGGAGAGAAGCTGCAAATCCCACAGCCATACTGTAGCTGCAAGCCAAGCCATCACCCAACTGCTACTTGTTTTACCATTTTGTTCATTTCTAAATATATTCTACTGTCTTTCCAAGTTACTGCTCCATTACAACAATTTTCCTTCAAGATATTGCTGGCTGTGGGCAAACCACAGAAGTGTTCAAGTTGTTACGTACATCAGCTAGTAAGGACTACAAGGATGCTGAGTACACACTTCTCGCTCCGGAAGTTGGAGTGGCCCTTGCCATAAAACATTTTGATTTCCCAAGTTTGTGACTTTTAAAATTCTCTAGTTATGAACTCAATTCACCTGAGCAACACCGCGAGCCAGCCTACAGCATAACACTGACTTACCAAAACCACATATTATTCTTTAGCACAAATCCTTTGCATACCATTCTGACACCGCAGCAATTAGCTATTCAATTTTGCAAAACATATTGAGAAAGCACAGCTGATTCAGGCAATAATTTCATCTTTATGAGCTTTTAAAACAACTCTCATAGCTACGAATGCAATGCAGACTGACTGCACATCTCATGTACGGAAAACAACCCAAAGGATGCCAAGGACAGAGAAAAACAGTGACTTTTGCTTTCAGCAGTCTCAATAATTAATTCCGCATGAAGAGGTGCTCCAGTAAAAAACACCTCCATGACAGGTTTAAACATTTTCCGCCAGAGGAAAGAAGAAACAGAGACCTGCAACCTTACCTCTATCTTCCCGAGGTGAAAGATGGTTCATGGGAAAAACTGGACTCTTCAGTTAATTAAACAGCAAACAACAGAATCCTAGAGCCTCAGCAAACGCAGGCATCGACCTTCCATGGGAAGTCTTCACATGAACTCTTCTGATAGGGGACCAGCATCAATTACTGAGTCCTGTGGAGGAAAAGACAGTTTTTCTGCATTATCTTTCATTTATCTTTCTGAATTATTATTCACACGATGCAATTTTCAGTGTTTTAAGTAGAAAAACAGCAACGCTGAGGTCAACTATTAATTCACAGCAGCAGCATTAATAGCTTGCTGACCTTCTCAATACTATCAATTTGCCAGGTATCTTTTTTATTCCATTAGAAAAGAACTCATCAAGGTTCCACAAGCTTTAAGCTACTTGGGGAAATAAAGTAAATGAAAGCTTAATACTCCAACCGATACAGGTTTTTTTTTAAATTCTCCCCTCCCTCTTTGCCAATGCCACTCCTAAGAAATAAAGATTACCCTCCAGAAAAACACAGCACAAAATCTAGTAGCAAATCTGCCATAGCGAGACAGCATCTACGCCAACATGGGAGATAAAAACTAGCACCAGAAAATTACAGTTGGTGTTTACAGCCAACAGGCTGCAGACCACCGCCGAACTCATAAAACTCAAAGATAATGAGATCCTTCCCTGCCTCACAAAGGCACGGATAGTAAATTGCTGTTGTTACTAAGCATTAAGCTAGAACTGGATCAAGGGGATTTCTCCAGTTCCTCCTCTTCTGCAGACTTTCTGTATCACCTTCGATAAGCCAGGTAGCCTCTGAACCCGAGATGAGCATAATTATTTCTCTCCCGAAGCACGTATGCCATAAAAAGATACCAAAACTGCAGTATGTCCATTTTCTTCAGCTATCCCCTCTCCTGTAAGTCATGCCAGTCTGAACCTTGTTCCTCTCGAGCCAAATGCTAGTATGGCAACTAATCTGTGGCTTGCAAAGACCTTGCTTGGTTCAAAAATTTAAGTTCATAACATAGGGCTCTTCATATTGTAATGCATTCTAATGGAAAAGTAAGTAATTTAAAAAAACCCAACAACCATGGAAACGCTGAGATAAGCTTCATAACCTTTCTTCCAAGCCACTCCACACATTGCAGTTTCTATAGCCAAGCTTGCTACCCACCCATCAAATGCTCTGAGACAGAAGTCCCAATACTGTTTTTGAACTTTTATTTGTAGTAGCTATGGGATGCAATTCATCTTAATCAACCTTAGACACCTAAGAGCTGGTTGGAAACTGGAGCTGGTAATTCCAGGGTCCCTCTGCAGTCAATAAACAGGTCCACGAAATCTCCCCTTGAAGATGGTGGATGGAGACGTCTGCAGTCCTCAGCAGCCCAACCAGCCCCAAAGGCTAGCTGCTGCTTCAGCGGATCAGGTTTGGCCCCTGAGGAATCACCAGGTTAGGCGTCCACATTAAATTACTTCCAGGATGAAAACATTTTCTTTCTCTCTCTCTCTCTCTCTCTCTCACAGGGTTACTAGGATTATTGGGTTAAATTTATACATCTAATTCCGAGTATCTGAAGTTAGATGAGGGGAGTACCATCATTAGTTCAAAACCTGCTCGTCCCCGTCGCCGCTCCGCTATTACAAAAGAAATTACTTACATGGACACAGTCATTAGAATACTGTCTTAATAATGCACCCGTCATTAGCAACACAAGACTCTTACAAGTCGCTCGTTGCAATTTATTCATGAAAAATCAAGTAGGCAAAAGGAGGGAGGAAAACTCAGATGGCAGCAGCATCTCCAAGGCACTGGCCGAGAACAACTCTGGAAGCTTATGGGTCCACATCCGAACAGACAGGTGTGACTAGAGCACATCCCGATGGGAGATGGGATGCCTGCCTTGTTAAGCATCCATTTTTATACACACGTGCACATAAATGAACACAAAAGATGCACAAACTGCTGTATCGCTCAGGCTTCCAGTCTGAAAGTTGCGTTTTACCAGTAGGAGACGGTCTTTGAATTTCTAAATAATACGTATGTCCCAGCTGCTTTCACTGCCCCTACAATAAATAGACAAAATGACGCTAAGGAATGAACACTAAAACCAGAAAAACATAAATAATAATGGAAACTTTAAGAATATGTTTCCAGATTCCTGGGGCAAGGTGTGTGTCTGGGGGGGGACTAAGTTCCCCAAACTAAAAAGGGAAGATGTTCCTGTTTTAAAAAAATAAAAATACTTATCTCAACCTGGCTCTCATGAAAAGGAAAGCAACCATCAGAATAAAAAAATATATATATTAAAGAGAAGAAAAACTAAACGAAACATTAAAATACATCAGAAATGTAGTGATATGAAACAGCGAGAGAAGCAAAATACAATGGGAGGAACCACAATACTCACAGGTTCGAGCGTATCACATTATAAGAATTACCTAGGAACAGCAAATTCCAGCAACGGCGGAGGATCGTTACCGCACAGAAACAGAGCAACCACCAGCAACATTATAGCAACGGCAGAAGAATGCAACAAATATTTCTGTTCATTAATTAAGAAAGAAACCAGATGGTATAGTCATGCCACAGGAAACATTTTCTATTCCAACAGCAATGCAGGCAGATGTGAAACAACAGCTAACAGAGCTGGTCGTTTTTAAGTCAGGAGATCTTCAGCTGCATCCCAGCGGCTTTAAAAGAGCTGGACGAGAAACCCCCTGGACCATTTATTGTCGCCTCCCGCAAGCGTTAACTTGGGAGGTTTGAGAGCATTGAAGGACATGCTGTTGTGTCAATAATTTAAATGCGTGAGCAGGATGACCAGGCTAATACCAAGATATCGGTCCAGCTCACATTCCAGGAAGACAAGGAAAATGCTGGTATAAAACCTAATTAGGAAATACAGGAAGTAAATAACTGATGTCTATCGACACACAGGTCTTATATCAATTGTATGTGTTTTTATTAAGACTACAAGATTGGCTGCAAACTGTAACAGCTCAGCTGCAACATACTTGGAGTTTGGTAAATCATTTAACTTTGTAAAGTATGATTTCTCAAGTAACTGGAATTACATTACATAACATGGAATATATTAAACAGATTAATAATTGGCCATGCGACAAATCATAAAATATAACTAGATCATCATTAATCACGTGCTCGTACTGAAATCCCAGAAGGAGCAGTTCTTGCGCCCTACATTACTCATCCTCCTGCAAGCCATGAGCAAAAGCCACTGCAACTCGGACTCAGACTGACTCTGAAAGCTGCAAAGGACATGAGATCTGCCTCCTCTACCAACGTGACTACAACCAAAGACCTTGCACAACTTTATAACCAAACACAGAGTTGGAGCAGAGACCCTTCCCAATCCAGATGAGGTGTAACAGAGGAGGGACACACCAGCAGTCTATGAAGGCAGCAGCAGCCTGCTCAGTGCAAGAACAAGGAGGCAAGAAATGAAAGTAGCAGGTGGCAAGTCCAAAACCAAACAAGAGACAGCAGTTTCTTCACACACAACCCAGCTAAGCAGTTTAGCTCCTTGCCACAGAACGTTGTGCTTGCTAAACATCTGCATGAGCTCAAGGGAGGACTGGCCGTGTCACAGAGCAGACACCCACGATGGTTACTAATAAGATGGACATCATCTCTGGGTGGGAAAGTCCTGGAGATGTTGAAAGATCAGAGGCTGGAGAGTTGGGAAAGTGTCATACAGGGTTTGCCCAGTTCTCACATCCTTTTAGAGGCTCCACTTTTAGAAACAGGGTGCAGATCATCAACGCTATTCTTATATTCTCACTTAAGAGTAGAGGAAACTGTACTTTGGAAAAGATCTCAGTGATGGTGGACCACCAACCACACGTGACTCCCCAGTGCAGCTTCCTTTGGCAACGGCACTGCGTTGTCCACACACATGAAAAACTCCTGAAAGTGGGAGCTCAACCCACTATTTCAAATACAACTGAACTCAGGGAGGTCCTACAGCCTCTCGTGCAGGTGACCTTATCAGATACTATTAACAACCTCTCCTTTTCCAGAGATGGTGAAACCATGGCTTCTGAACCACAGGCAGCCTACAGGCAGCCACAGAGTCACTCCCAGAGTGCAGCACAAGAAGTAGTGGGGTGATGCCGTCCCAGGGTCATCGGATGATCTGAGCCCACAGCAGGAGAAGAAAGCCGGTTTGACAGGCAGACAGAAACCCACACCTCATTTAGAGAGCACCAAAGATCTTCCAGACATAATCCCCTGGCAGAACCGCTCCATCCCCTCAAGCTCTCCCATGTCCCACACGTTTTCTTTGTCATCAACCATATGAAGATTTTGCTAAGCTTTCCCAGGTCATTATTACACAACCTGTCTGCAGACCACTACCCATAGTCTATTAATCACAGTAAGAAGCTGAAGGAGCTGGATCTTGGCTTTTCCTTCCAAAACATAATACCTTGAGGCAATAATAAAAGACACTTTACAAGTGCTATTATGCACAAGCTTTCAGTTTAAGATACAGAGAGATCTGGAGGACAGATAAAAGAAATAAGTATCCATAGATTATATACATCAACCGCCCAGGATATTTTTCCCTTTCATCAGAAAGCATTTTAATTAGTAGGAATACGCACTTAGAGATTTCCAACGTAAAAACCCCAAGGCCTTTCACTAAAGCTTGCATTGACTGGTGACCTTTGCTCTTCTGTTTTCTTCCCAAATCCTGTATTCAGCATTTTTTGCTCAAACTATTGACAACTTTCACTGAATGGTTTGAAGTTATTTGCTTTAGGTGTATCCATGTTTTCCCCCCAACAAAGCATCAAAGTTGGGTTGTTCCCTGCAACCCAACAAAGCAGAAAGAAGAAATATCCCATACAAGTCGATGGACCGGATCCTGGTTTTAAACAGTTGAAGCTGAGGGCAAGAAGTGGGTTATCCACGATCTTGTTAAGCCTATCCTCTGAAGCTGCTTTGAGCAAGGTTCAGACCAGATGGCCCCCTGACAACCCTTCCACCTAAACTATTCCGCGTTAACTACAGCAGATTCAGCGTATCAGAAGTTCTCCTTATCCCATGAAAATGTATTCAACCACACATAGGAGAGCCTGGTGTGTTGCTGAA